ATATTATCCCAGAAACTCCAGGTAGGCTAACCAGTCCAATGAAGATTTGTCAGTGTTTCAGATTATCTCCGTTTCTGGATAATGGCTCTCTTCTTAGAAATGGCTTTGAACAGATATTTACATCAATATCTATGTTTTTCTCCTGTTTTTCTTTTTTTTTTTTTTTTTATTCTTCAGGCTCCTTAAGAACTTTGTGTTCTGTAAACCATCAACGACAGATGAATTAATGCACAAATACTCTTGTAAACTAACAAAGAATCACAACACACTATTTTTAGTTTGTGCACAGCTGTCCTTTTTTAAAAAAAATAAAAAATAAATTAGTCAAAACTGGAATTAGAAGGGCAGTCTTCAAAAAAGGTTAGAAATGTATTTCCTGTGAAAAATATTATTTTCCTATAGAAAATGCAGTGTTTTAGCCATAAAAAGTTGGAAGCTTTGTGAGGGAGGTGGCCACAGACAGTGCTTTGAAACATATGGTACTCAGCATCAAAAACCTCAGTGGCTCATTTGCAAATTTGCATGTACTGAAGTTGACGCAATGGACGCATTTAACAGTTTCGGCGAGGACAGTCTGACCGCCTTACATCCCAGGAAAGAATAGAAATGTGCATTGCTGTCCTCTGCTTGCCTGCGTGTATGCATGAGTGTGAGCACGACTGTGGTGGAGCTGAGCCATGGTGATGCACTAATAAAAATCAAGCAGCGATGCATCCTCACACCTTCCTCATTCCGCCTGCCGGATTGCGCCGGTTTCCATGGCGACCGGATAAAACTCACACTGTTTTAAGCTCCAACTGGAGGAGGCGATTCACACAGTCTCACACACACACACACACGCAGATGAAGTTCCTTATTACACATCTGTCAGAGTGTACTCCTTCAGTTGCCTAACTGACAAGAAAACAAATGCTGATTTTATTATAAGTGACGGCGACACCAGCAAACCATCAATTAAGCGGAGAGACGCAGCTATACGGAGAAGCTGTGCCAGAGCGGCGGTAATGACAGCTGAGTAAAAACCACGAGAGCTAGTCCAAACACTTGGCCCTCCTCTGTTTGACTATCAGCCTGTCTGTCTGTAGATTTTGTCCGTACCGCCCAACATTGCTCTATGTGCAGGCCACAAAAGCAAACAGATTTGGCTGTCAAATACTGACACGACACTCAAGAAGGGTCGAATCGCAGTGAGGCCAGCTGTCAGCAAACACCCTCCTCTCTCTTCATCAAAACCCATTCATACTCAGTTTTATTGACCAACACGACCGTCTGTGTGACATATGTCATCTTGTCAAGCCGACACCTAGCATGCACTGTCTCTAATAAATGGCAAAGCACCAGAGCATCTCGAGTGCTCAAGCGAAGGCTGAAAGTTGAGCATGCAACCAGGAGCTGATGGATGAAGGGGATGAATGGACGGATGGATGGAGGCATGCACGAACGCCTCTAATTGGAACTCGGTGTGGGTCAGTGTTTGTGTAAGTGTTTCTGTGTGGGGCCGTCGACACAGGCCACCAGTCTGTACCAGGGAGGGAAAGAGATGAGAAGAGCCTTTGAGCCGAAGATGGTCGAAAAGAAGAGCACCACTGTCTTACCAATAGGAACTATTCATCAGCTGTGAGGAGAGAGGAGGAGGAGTGACTGAGAAAATTGGGAGGAAAAAATAAAGCTCCACAATGTCTTTAGATTAACATTTTGACAGGACAGCAGAGCATGGTTTCCTTAAGAATCCCAGATCATCATTTCTAGAGATGTCTGAACATGAAAAAAGGAATTTTTTTTTTTTGCTCCAAAAGTTATTTTGCTAATACTTATAATACTGCTGCTTTGCAATTTTTTGTTGTTTTAAGTAAAATTATGATAAACTTTTTTGATCAAAGAGACACGTATGAGCTGTCAGCAGATAAACTTTGCAAAACTTCATAAGTAAAACAATAAACTACATAATTAACAAACGTGTTAACTTTTTTGACTAAACTCAAAAGAAGTGGGGCTTTTAATATTTACATTTTCAGGGTGTGATTTCAACAGTTTGTCTTGTGGGCCTGTGAAAAAAAAAAGAGCTCTAGAAGGATAACTAAAACCAGAATGGATCTTTAAGACCTGAAATGAATATATGACACTTTATTTCCTTCATTTTTTTCACTGTAACACAAACACATCAAGAATTAATTCGACTGCAGATGATACAGAGAAGAATAAAGTGCAAATTTGTGCATAAAGCTTGATAGATTTACAATTTACTTTATTATAGCATTACTTGTGTTTCACTGCTCATGTTCTATTTTAAATGTAATAAAATCTCTGAGTTTGAGTCTTGCGTTACTCCAAGTTAAATAAACAAATCTAAGTTAAAATTGTGTATCCACTTTATTGTTGCTGATTGACTGTGGATCCAACCTCTGTTAAGAAACAGCAATGCTATATGTTCTTGTAGCTGACTGTGTGAGCTGTAGAGAGCTGTGTTTTGCAATTTTTTTGTTTAGATAACAAACATTTAGTGATAAGTGCAACCTGTTGCATTGTTTTGGATGAATAAGCGATTTTCCATCTGTTGGTAACAGATCAGGTATCAAGATAAACGTGGTTGAAAGATCAAAATCGGAAGAGTTTGCAAAAACCATCTTTAAGTTTTCTGTTGTGACTTTGTCAGCAAAACTCTCTGGAGAAAGACGTTTACCAGCATCTATAAAAATTAGTCATCCGCTTGGATGTTTTACCCTTATATTTATTTTTCTAGTCATTTAGGATGAATCAAATTTGGCCTTTTTGACAAAAAAAGAAAAACACTTTTTTAATGTCAAAGTGAAAACCCCATGTTACCTGACAGAGTTTGAAAAGTATTGCACAGCAGAGTGGAGGAAAATTGCAGTGTTCAGATGTGATTTTAGCAAATGGTGCATCTTCTAACTACTTCCTTGAATAGTTGTGCAATCATGTATTTCATCTTAAAGTAAATGATTGCACAATTATTCTTGTCATTTTGTACAAACCACTTTCTACTTTAACATTAAAAGGGTTTTTGTAAGTTTTTCCTTTTCTTTGTTAAGGAAGCCAAATTTTGTTGGCCATGACTGATTTGCAAAAGCAACAAAAAGGGTAAAACATCCAAATGGGTGAGCGCTTTTTATAGGATATATGGTATGGGCCCTATAGGTAGTGATTTACCACTGCATAAAATCTTGACATCTACATCCCTGAGCTCATAACAAAAAATTGTCAATTGAAATACACAATGGAATAAAAACCCAGCAGACTTAAAGTCGTGGATACTATCTGTATTTTTCCTGACTACATCACTGGAGGATGGCTGTGTTGATGGGGGCCAGAATACTGTCAAATGATGACTTACCCTTATCTCTAAGGTTAAGTACGGTCTCCCTGAAGAGGCAGCTCATTTTGACTGTACGCATCTATTTATTTATCTTTGCAAAACAGTACATTCTTATTTCATTCATTTAGGTGTAAGGTCTTTTTCAGGAAACTGCTTATTTACACTTTAGTGCGCGTGTGTGGGTTTTCGAGCGAGAGAGCGAGCGAGAGAGGGCGAGACTATCCCAACATGCTTTTACTTGTTTATGTGTGCATGTTTTACCAAATGATCAATACCATACTCCCACTGAGCGCTTAGCACACAAACGTGATACACTGACTTTTACTAACAAAACACACACACACAGACGCGTGCACGCACACACACTGAGCTATGAGTCAAACAGACTTGCCTGGTCTCACCACTCTCACACAGAGAGATCCGTGACAAGAGAGAGGGGAATCCAACAACAAGCTTTATCGATCCAGACTGGAAACCCCCCTCGGGCCACACACATACACATTCGCACCAGTGTTGAGTTGGATCAATGGGTGCTGCTGTGTGAAGGATAGAATCGTACAAAGAGGAGCACAAGCATACCTTTCTGCACAAAGGCCCATGCACTGTCCAGAGACGAAATAAGCGCTCCGTATCAGAGAGGGCGATAAGGGGCAGAAAGAGCAAAACGTATCATCTGACCTAAACAGTCTCATCTGACAGGCTGCAGTTTGGCGTTGCTCTATAGAGCAGATGTTAACACCGTGCCACGCACAGCTGAACACACTCACAAGCACACGCACAAATGTCAATGCACACTGAAAGATTAGCTACTGGCAAGCTCAGTTTCAAAGTGATATTGCTTCTCCGTTGAATGATTTAAAGAAAGGATCATGTGGAGTAAAGAGAGCTGCTCCGAGACGCAGCAAAGATATGGCTGCTCAATTTTTTTACGAGCGGTGACACAAATGTATCACTCATCCGACTGTGTACCATCTCAAGCCTTCTCAGTCAACATTCCCACGCCCACATGGGCACAAGTAGAGTTTCCTTTATGTTTTTATTAAGAGCACTAAAGGGATGGTGTGTTTCAACAACATGTGTGGATGTATTTTATGTGACCAGAAAAATTTCCAAATGGCTGAATTTGTCTTTCTTGAATGCAGAGGAAAAGTCAGGAGACATTCTTTGAACAAGTGACAGTGTAAAGCAATAGTGCTGATGCAGACCAGTAGAAAAACCTGCAGTTTTTCCACCATTTCCTGTGGCAATCCATGTAAAGAACTTTTCAACTATGGGGATTGTATGGTGAAAAATGTTTTAACCAAACAAGCACCGCAAAAATAAAACCTATTTATCACTGCATGCCCTGCGACAGACTGGCGACCTGTCCAGGGTGAACCCCGTCTCTCGCCCAGAACGCAGCTGGAGATATGCACCCTCAACTCCCGACCCCACTAGGGACCAGGGTGAACAGATAATGGATGGATGGATTTATCACTGTAATAAGACGATAACCAACATTCTGTAAAATTTCTCCATCTAATTTCTCCCTGATGCAAATAAAACACGAGCGTCATGGCATCAGTTTTTTAGCTATTGGCTAACAAAACCTGTCAAACTAATTTCCAACTGCAACCTGATGGTGTTTGGTGAATCACTGATGATCACTGTGGCATTAATGTCCTACCAGGGATGATGGAAACAGTGTCTTTCTCCCAGGACACCACGCTGACGTACTCTTGAACAGCTGAAGGGATGAGGCACTTGAATACGGCAATGTTACCCCGCATGGAATGCTGGTCTGCCACTCGGACTGTGTAGGGCTCCCTGAACACTGGAGTTTTGGAAAGAAAAGGAAGAATGATAATTATTTAAAGCAGTATTATGTTGTTGACCTGGATTCTTTTAGCTAATAAAAATGAAACATCTTTATTTTTTGTAAATTAAAGTGCATCATGTTTGAGAAGCTGAAAGAGAATAATTATAAAACACATCATCAGCTGAGAAGCAAAGCATCAGATTATCTATTCAAGTAGACACAAAAACCCCGTAGCATTTTCATGTGGCTTTGATAAGTGCAACTTTGTGTTTTATTGAAATTAATGGAAACTAAGTTTCCAGAGAGCTAAGACCAAAAAAGCAAAGGTGTTTCTCAATTTGAATACTTTTTTTTTAAGTATTCATATCACTTTAGTATTTTATTTTGTCACCCTACAACCACAATTTTCAGCATCTGTTTTTTACCATCTGCATAGCAAGCAATTGGATGAAGTGAAAGAAAACGATACATTCCTTTTGATATTAAAAAGTGAGACATGCCTGTATTTAGCCCCCTTAAGAAGAGCACATTACTAAGTAGTTCATCAGTCTATAATTTGTTTCCAGTATAAATAAAACTGCTCTGTAAAGAACCCGTTTGTTTGTGTGAGAAAACAGACAGTACTATGAAAACCAAGAGCAAGCGACAAGTCAAAGGGAAAACTGTGGAGAAGGTAAAGCAGAGTTAAGGTTATGAGGTATCTTAACCTTTTAACATTTCAAAGATCACTGCTAAAGCTGAGAGAGAGTATGGGGTAACTTAAAACCTGAAAGGAACACCAAAAACCGCCCTTTCCATGCTTTTGTAGGATGTGAGGAATCTTTAGCTGCAAATACAAAATAAAAAAAACAGCTAAATTAGTAAGTAGTATTACATATGTACACATAACAATCTGAAAAGTAGTGACTCATAACATTTTCTAACTTCAAAAAAATGTTTTTCAATGTCTCTTTTTTTGTCAACACGTCCAGAACCACCAAGTGACGAATGCAGGGACAGACCAGAAAACAATGCTGTCTGGTGTTCAGTTTAATCACATTAGGACAGCGATGCACTTTTTAGCCCCAGACGTAAAGCCACAGTTTGACAGTAAGAAGGCCTGACTTTGAGCTGCGTTGAAAGGGATGCACAGTGATCGGCCCCTGGCCTTTTAAAGCACAGCGCCACAGATGCTATGAGACGGCAAGGAGTGGAGGACCGCTCACAGCCGATGGAGCTGTCACATGCAGGCGCCAGGCATCAAAAACACACCCTCTGCTCATGGCACGCTGAGCTCCAGACTACGAATCTGTGCCAGTGTACAGAAAGGATGGTAGTGATTAAGACGGGCCTCATGATAAAAACAGTGGCCTGCAGCTAACCAAATTATCTCTCCAGTTAATACTGTCACATTTGGATTAGTGGAAAAGTGTGAATTGTTAAATCAAAGCATACATTCATTAGATAAATTAAGTGAGGTGAAATTAAATGAATGGATTATTTTGATAAGAAGGAGAGACAGGTGGTTCAAGGGCACAACCACTAGGCAGAATCATCAGTGTATTGTTTTCTAACCCAAACTGTGTTTTTTGTTTAAAGTTAACTCACTAGATTTTTTTTTCTCTTTGATGTGCACAAAAAGAAGAATATCTGACATGAGTAAGATGAGAAAAACACAATTACAGAAATCAGATAGGGTCTAGACTGATATTGGGGACGGATTCTGGCAATCTATCAGCCGGGCCTCACTTTAGAAATTAGGACAGTAATGGCTTAACAATGTAAAATGTACACGCGCACACACACACCAAACTGGGAGTGGCCTCACCCCTCCCGCTCTCTTCCTCCAGCTCTCCAGTGATATAATTAACGCCTAGCCTGAAGGCCAGTTTCCTTGGTCATTAATAATGCTTTATGCCAGCCGCTACTGTCACTGGAACCCAGTGGAACCAAAGCCAATGTCCTTGTCGAATCGGTGGAGAGTCTTTCACCTTAAAGTTCGAGCTTTATTCTCCCAAGTCTTTTGTCTCATTCTATCTATTGATTTCACAGTTGTACTTTATTCATAAGCGGCTGAATCATGGACGCCGTCTTTCTTCTTTGGTGACTTGTGAAGGAGCACAGAGTATATATAGCGCATATGTGAACCTGACAAATATAGATATACCTTTATTAGATATAATTCAATTTTATCAAAATTTTATTTAGAAGGCTTTTTTTGTGTGTGTTAGTTTGACAATGTAAAAGATTTTTGAGTGTTTTTTATATGTTGGAAGGTTTGTGTTATAAAACCACTCTAGACTTATCAGAGACAAAGTGACAAAAGGTTCAGTTCTTTGTAAATGTGTTTTTGTCCCCTAAAGATCAACGTATATTATGACTTCATTCGATAAGACGAATAAACTTGACCATAATGAAGTAAAATGTGAACGCTTTTAGAATTAAAACTGAAAGATGTGGCATGCATTTCTACTCAGTCTCCCTAAATTAGTCATTTATAGAAATGGTTTTCAGTGGAAAGAAGTTTTTTTTTTTTTTTTTTTACCAATTATTTGCAGAATAACTAAAACACCAAGATGAGACTGAGAGCATCTGGAAACATCCTTTTCTTCAAGACTTGCAGTAAATGTTTGACTAGGCAATTCCAACGAGTAAAAATTGCAGGTCTGGCTGCACATTGAGAGTCATGTTATGCAATGTGGTGAAATCCATTAATATGCCAAGAGCCACAAACTGATTTATCACAGAAAATATTAATAGAAAAAGCAGAAACACAATAATAAAGCAAAGTTTCCCCAGGTTTCTGAAGCACCTGCCAAATCTTCTTGCAGTATTTCTCTCTATCTATCTACTGTCTTCTTCTAATCAACTCCTTATAGTTGTGCCTATTTTGCTATTTTCAGAGGATGAACTGAAATGTTGAAGCTATGTATGTTGTTTTAAAAGCTTACCAGGCTTTAAATTTAAATTTCACATCTTTCTGATGTGATCTTCAAACTCAACAATGCTGTTTGGAGTTTGTTTGTGAACTGAGGTGATCTTTGAAAGAACTTGGTTAACTTGGAGTGACACAATACACCATGTACTTTTTAGGTCCCAACATGATGAAATGCAAGAGACAGAATATAGATCATTTTGCCACCACTTTGGTTACTAGAAGCAGAGCATCGACGACGAGAGCGCAAAAGCTAAAATAAAAAAATCATTCTCATTAGGCCTTCGTTTGACTTCCTTAAATTAAACAACTCTAGCGTTTCATTGATGCCATCTAGCAGTGGATCAATAGCCTGGATCGACACAAGAGCCCCGGCTGTTGTGACCGAGCCAATCCTTTCAATCATTTATTTACTCTCCAAGTGACCTGGCTCCCTTCTGTCAATAGAAAGTAGAATCTCTCCGAGAGTGTTTAAAATCAACCTGACAGCTTGTAAATACTTGCCACAACGATGACAGATATCACATTTCAGTTCAGTGGAAGTTCATATCCAGTCAAGGTCACTTGTTTTACTCTTCACACCCTTTCGAAGGGTGTTGAGCAACAATTCCTTTTCTCACTTCAAATCTGTCAAATAAGCTCTAGCAGCCACCACAACAAGAGGCCACAGTTGTGATTTATTGCACGTTATTCAAAGACCTTATAGGGACGAGAGGGCAGCTTTTCAACATAAAATAGTCTGACTGTTTTGTATGTAAATTGCACTCCCCCACCCCTTCATCGCATGCGCAGCAGAATTATTAGGATGTTACTGATGCCTGACTATAAGTAGCTGGGTTGCCAGGAAACGAGCTAAAACATGGGTCTGGGCGCACTGGGCGCACTGGGAGGCGAGTCTTGTATCACTGTCGCTTCAATAATTAACGACAGGGAAACCAAATACTGCATTTACTAATTTATAAAGGAAGCTGAGAATACGAAAAGATTGTGGAGGAGCATGATGAAACACAAGAGATCCTAATGTACGTGGCTTTCATTACCAACTGAAAATGTTATAGATTATAAAAAAATAAATAAAATAAAACAAAACACTCTTGGGAAACCTGTTTTTATGTTAGAAATAAACTACCAGTTAGAGGAGAGATGCTGAGGACAAATTAAGAAAGAGGATCTATGCGCACTCTTTCCAGAGCTTTGCAGTTTTGTGTATTTTAGCCGGAACAAAGAAGCGGTAAGGATAGCCGCAACGAACAGGTGTCCTTCCTTCATTGTATTGTGTCTGTGGAAACAGCTGTTAGGTAAATGAAACTCAAAACCCTTTGTCTCGTACAGCCCATTCTGTCAAAGCATGACTGCATGTGTGCGCTGAAGTCTCATGTTAATCATTTATGCTGGAAGTTATATGAAAATAAAAACAGTCTGTTCCTTCATGACATTCAGTGATCGGGCCAAAGGGCAACTATTAATTAACCTCCTGTCTTTCTGATTATATGGATTTTTGGTTTTTCAATCTGATACCAGCAAAAAAGAAAATACAAATATATTAGCAGACACAAGAATATTCGGTGACTCTTCTGCTTGGCCTCCATGGAAAGAGTGCCCTACGACATTTAGTGTAAAACTAATTCAAAGTCATACCAACAGTCAAACATGATGGTGGTGGTACAATGGATTCAGGTTGCATACTTCTGTGGGACATGACCTCAACTTCCATCATATTGAATCAAATTTGCATTTCCTCCCCATGCATGCCTGCTTTCTTGCCAGGAAGTTTTTCTTCTTCTTTCACAACTCAAAACCTGCATGCAAGGATGTCAACATACATCGTCTATGTGCGTTCCTGTCTGGCAACGTGTCCGGTGTGGACTCTTTGTCTCAGAGTGACGACTGAACAAAATCCCCAGTTCCCTGCTTGGACAAAGTGGGTGCAATACATGGATTAATTAAGGTTAACTGATCTGGAATATGCATTATAAGTTTAAAGCATAATTATTTTGTCTTGTAATGCCCCTTTTGTTTGATATGGTACTAATAGTGAAATGAGCTTAACTCAATTTAATTGAATTTGTGCAAATCAAATCATATGTGTTATCATACGACCCTATAATGTAAGACACACTTCAGTATCTCCAGTCTTATTCCATCTATATTTACCATTAACTTGTTACCTTTACAATTGACCACAGCAAAAGAGGTTTGTAGAGATGTAGCATTGTTCCTCTGACTATAGAAGAGTTTCACCAAACATGCCTGAACCTACACTCTAAAAGACTGGGAGACTTTTAAAATGTCTTCCACTGGTATTTAAGTTTTCACTACCTATCAGTGGACTCAAAATAGTTTAAAATGTCCAACAATACTTTCTGTTTATGAACAGCAAAAAAGAAAACAAATCCCCAGGATTATAGCTTAAGACTTTTCTTTTTTCCACATCGTGACTTTATTTTATTGTTATTCCTGGTGATGAGTCATTTAGAAATATTTGCCTCACAGCACCTGCTTACCTACAGTAGCAAGGAGGAGTAGGCTTCAAAAGCAGGACATTATGTGTCTTTATTCAATTTTTAGTCTGATGCTTGAGATTTTAAAACTTTTCTTTGGTTGTTTTTTGACACTTCAGTCCCTGGAATTACAAGACAAAATATTCACTCTTTATCACAGCTTTTTTACAAACTAAAAAAAATAAATAAAACGAGTGCCGAACTAAATTAATTTTTACTGAAATTCCACAAAAAAAAAAAAATCTGGGAGTTTTTGCCCAAAAAAAAAACAAAAAAAAAAAAAAAGAGTACCAAATAAAAACATATCTAAGAAAAAAAAAGGCTTTCAGACTGGTGATAATGTTATTATTGGACTACTTGGAGCAAGCATGGGAGAGAAGGAAGAAAAAAAAAAGAGGACAGGAAGAACAGAGGAAAAAATAGAGATGGCAAAGAGACAGAGAAGGGAAACCGCATGGATGGCGAGGAGGGGGTGGGGCAGATTTTTGTGGAGGGTGTCTCACTGCGACTTGTCAGCTGTCATCATTCTCGTGCACCACCTGAGACGGGGTACGCCACACCCCGGCGCTCATGCCTGGGTTGCCAGTGGCAACCACAGACAGAGGGTTTTCATGTGCACACGCGTGCGTGTGTGAGAAAGAGTGAAGGCGTGCCTTTGTGCTGCGTTAGGATCCAGAGGTAATGAGGTGCGCACACATGCACATGAGCCTGGCTATGGAGCTGTAGAGTTGTGGTTGCCTCAGCATTTAATTGATTAATTGTTGTAATTATTTGGAAAGGAAGGTCACTTCAACACTGGGGCTATCTGGAAGGTCACTCTGACGCTGGAGGGACTCTCATCCTCTGGGGACCACATAGGCCATATGGGTTTGTTTGTGTGTGGAGGAGATTTCAGATCCGTTTTAAGAAATATATTTACCTGTGTATGCAGGAGTGAGGTGGGGAGCCGATGACCGCCTCTTTATGTGGCTGCAATGAATGAACAAATTCAACAATGTACGTGTGTAGCTTTTAGTGTGACCCAAAAATCCACTTCTTTTCATATCTTTATATGTCTGTGGCTCATCTTTTCTGCCAAACAACCTGGCAGCCAAAAATTGTGCAGTGAATGGCTCAGTGTGTGTGCGTGCGTGTGTGATTTAGCATTTAGCACCTTGTGAGGACCATTTTTTCCCCCAACAAATACGACTTTGTGAGAACGCACTTTGCTCAAAGCCCTGCCCCCACAAGAAGACGTGCTGCTGTAGGGTTAGCAGGTTTGGTTTAGGACTAAGGTGTGAATTGAGTTTAGGTTAACTTTAGGGTAAGTTCAGGGTAAGGGTCAGGATTAGGCTGTGGAAGTGAATTAAAAATATCAAATGGAAGTCAATGTAAAGTCCTTGTGAAGATAGAAAAGCAGTGTGTGTTTGCGTGTGTGTGTGCACGTGTGTAGTTTTGGGACTATCCAGTCCATGGACAGATGGAGAGACTGGGAGACGAGCGTGCTGGCATGAGCTGTACGCAAGCTGGAGTGGATGGGAGTCTGCTAGCTGTCTGTGTGAGTTCAAAAGAGTGTGAATATAATGTATAAATCTGTTGTATGTACACCTATATGCATTGTATGAATCATGCGAGCATGCGTGTGTATGGGATTTCTGACTGTATCTGCGTGTGTTTGCGAAGATGAGCAATAATGCCTTCTATCAGCATGTTCATCACTTCCCTCCAGCTCTGACCTTGGCAGGGAGCGCAGACGGGTCACTGAGCCAACTGTTTGTGTGGTTGTGGGTTTGTCCTCTAAAGAATTTCACTAATTCATAGGGTCACAGCATGGCATTTTAGGGCACTTGAACAGATATTGAACCAAGATAGCTGTTTTGACAAGATCTTGAAATTACTTCATGGGTTGAAAAAAAAAAAGATGAGATAATTTCTTTTCGATTTTTGTCTTATAATTTTAATAAAATATGTTTCAAATTGAAGATATTTAGAAAATCTACCTCCCGTTTTTTGTGGAAGGTACCAGCTGAATTGTTGCATGAAATCATACGCACTGATCTTTTCCATGCTTGTCACCTTTCATACAGGTCAGGAATAAAGTTATTGAGCAGTCCACAATGTGTTCATATCTAAATATCTAAAGCTTTTTTTAATTCTCTGAGAGTACTGTTGAACTCATCATCTGATAATACAAACAGAAAGGCACTGATACATTGGAGTCCAACTAAATTGACAGGTCAGGAAAGGACAGCAGTTAACTCTGGCAAAAGCATTGCAGATTTGTTTTCTTTATTACGTTGAAACTCTGTGTAGTGACATAAAATATTATGTTTTTATTAGGCATAAATCACCTCCTGTTTGTCTCCTGTTGAGGCTGGAAATGTGACTAAATTATGACAAATGATATGTTTCATGTTAGAAAATCCAGCCTAAGTGGGAAATTTAAGAGATGCTGGGTAAACACGGTGTGCAACCCATTTGCAACTGAAACATCAGCTCTAAAGTGGGGGTTGAATGTTTGCAGTCCAAGCTTTTAGGGCCTCTTCATGTCAATCATAATGAGATTACCAAGCCAAACAAGGATGTTACCGAGCTTGCTGTGGAGAACCACACCTAACTTTGGATGATAACCCATTGGCGTGCCCAGAATGACAATGTAGGGCTTTAATTTTATTTCCAAAGTTTATGTTTTATTGGCCAATGTGATACTTAGACTTTTCTTCACATTGTTGGAGAGTTATAAATCGAGAGGGCTCTGGGAACTGCCATTGAAGACAGTTCTTTTCTTTCTTTTTTTTTTTTCCTGGTGAACTATTTCTGTGTAGGTTTAATCAAATGTTTTGTATTATTATCCCATTGAAAGCTCCGGTGATGACCTATTTTCAGTTTTCTGTTAGAGGCCAGCATATTCTCACTCAAAATCTCTTGGTGTTTCAGAAACTTTTGATGCTGTGCGCTTAACCGAGGCAGAACAAGATAAGTGCGTGGCGCACACCTGAGCGACACCAGAACCATATGGGCTTTTGCTCATGGTCGTCTCTGGCTCTGTGAGAGGTAGGGTTCCCCCACTTGACAGGTTGCCTGTGCGGTAGGACAGAGAAAGTTTGTTTTTTTTTTCCTGGCATGATTCCCAAATGAATTGTTGGCATGTTAATGTATCCATTTGCTATTGTGGAGTCAAAGTGACTCCAAAACTTCATTTGCTGAAGTTAGGTGAGCTTTTTTATGATGCTTTTGATTTTCTGTGGTGAGTGCATAAATATGGGTTTACCTTACAAAAAAGCAGAGTCAAGTAAAAGTTTTTTTTTTGTCAAGATCATTTCCATTGAAATAAAACATATTAAACATATTTTTTAATAAAGTCATCATCTCTGTATTAAAAAGTTTGAATTTTTATTTGATGTAAGATTCTAATGTCAAATTTTAATAACGAAGCAGAAAATTATGACTGACACAAACAAATACTTGAAAACTTCTGTCTGTGTGCAATTGATCTATTTCACTTAGTGAAATGAGATTGTGAAGAGAAATTAGCTTTTCAGCTTGCTAAATTTGTCTGCATGTACAAAATGCCAGATTATTTCCTTCACTTGCTTGCAGCTTGCCTGAGCCTCACCTGCTTTAACGTGGATGCTGGGGCTTCGGATCTTGCCCGCTTGATTCTCGGCGGTACAGAAGTACTCGTTGTCATGGATGATGCTGTTGTAAGCAGAGGGGGAGAAAGGGTAGAGCTGGAGGGTGCCGTTGGCATGCACGTGGCGTATATGGGGCACGTCGTAAATGTCGTCTCCGGCAGCCAGGTACCAGCGCAGGACGGCATGGGGGGCGCCGCCCGCAGGGCAGGGCAGGGACACCCCCACCGAGCTGGAGAAGGTCACTCGCTGCAGGGAGGCGTTCACAAAGTACAGCCGAGTAGAGACAACATCCTCACTGTTGGCTGTTAGGGTGACAGAGACAGGGAGAATCCGTTAGAGGCGACTTCACATATCAAACAAGTACGAAAAATGACAACGGCTGTTCATTTTTGCTATTTAAAATTTATGTAAAATTTTAGGACGTAGAATTTATACTTTCTGAAAAATATGAAACATAATCATTCTACTTCATTCTTTATAAAAAACAATTTAACTGTGCATTTAACTTCCTCCTGAATAGCATCTTGCAATTGACTCAATCCAGTTTCACATCTCTAAAGAAAAAACTCAAAAACCTGGAGTCTCTTGACAAAAGATGGCTAAGAGAATTCTATAAAACTGTAAGTGGCTTTATTCTTACTGTAAAGAAAATAAAAATAAGTTAGAAAACAGCAAATTGGTTGCAAATTAAGAAATATTTTTAGTCAAGGCAATGTAAGGCAGCCTCTTACTTTTGAAGTTCAAAGGCATTGTTGAAGGCGATGTAGAGAATGTCTTATTTAGTTGGAAATCAGAAGAATTTCAAATTAAAACTTCACCATACTTATGGAGTCGTACTTGTTGCAATGAATACGACTCCATTTATAAGACATATAGATTATGGAGGAAGAATCTAATTGCAACTAAGGTCATTGCAGCATTTAACAATACCAAATGTTGCAAAAAAATGCTTTGGCAACAGTTGGTGAAAGTTTTATTGTTTTAAATATGTAAATTCTAATATATTTGTAGTTAGTGCATAACATATTTTGAAAAGGGAGAAGTCAGAATATGCTTTCTACCTCTACCTACTTATTTATGACCCCTTGTTTTGTTTTCTTGCTTGGTTTTTGACGAATTTTATTTGTGTGTGAAACAAAATCAATCACTCAAAAGTTTAAGTCTGTTTTGTATTTCATGTCTTCCTAAGGTAAGCTTGACTTTTTTTTATTTTTACAATCAAAACTATTGGAAAATCATCTGTCCTTTTCTCTCCGTTTCACAGATATGTTACATTACCTTCTTGTTTATTTGTTTAAGATATACAAACATATCAAGCCTGACAGCAGAAGTGGAAATCTTAGCAATCTTGAAATTAAATGTCATTCTGTGTTGGTTCTACATTTCTATGTTCAAATGTTCCACATGTTTTATTTTCTTTACATTTTTTCCAATTAGGAACCCCCAAAAAGTTCATGTTCACTTAATTTTTTGGAATGATGTTGATGTTTAATAATGTGTGAGAAAATGTTTTCTTTATTCAGTCAGTTTTCAATACAACCGGCACAGAAAATTGTTAAAATATAATGATGTGCTTCTTTTTTTCAAATTTAGCATATTATTAAAACAGTGGCATTTCAAGTTATAGAGAGACAAGAGAAAACTCTCGTATTTTTTAAACTTCTTAATCGATAACTTGCATCCCTACAGTATGCAAGGCACTGTGTCCACGGCTCTGTAAAAAAAATAAATAAAACAATAAGAGCCCACTGCACAGAACCCCGTTGAAATCCTCATGATTATGCCACCAAATATTGATTTAGCATTGTTGTTTATAAATGAACATGAACTTGTTTTCTTTGCATAATTTGAGGTCTGCAAGAACTGCACCTTTTTTGTGATTTTGATCATTTTCTGCAAATAAGTATTGCATTTTGACTTGGGATTTCAGACACATGTTGTGAGTAGTTCATAGAATAAAATAACAATGTTCATTTCACTCAAACATATTCCAATAAACAGTGGAATCAGAGAACAGATCATTTTGCAGTGGTCTCTTAATTTTTTCCAGAGCTGTATGTTCATCAATTTCACATTAACCCAAACAACTTCCTTCATGTTCCAAACTGCTGCAAATTGCTGCAAATTGTCTGATTCCATGTGCATTATCAGTAATGTAATAAGCTGCACCCACACAACTCTGAGTAGGGCAAAAAATATATCACAACTTCAAACCATTTCTTCAGATTATGTCCTTTAAGCTAGAGAAGTTGTTGCTTGCGATTCTCAGAGAGGAGGAACTCTTTCTGTTTGAGCTAAGGAACTGGAAACCACACAAGGCTCACTGTGAACGGCTAGCAGATATGCTTTCACAACAACCTCCCCCTCTCAAAATACCCTTGATCAAACTAAAGTGGGGTATTAAGACATCCATGAAAATCTCTGTTTCTGTGTATGTTTGGCTGGGATTAGGAATGGGAAGGGAAAGGAGGGGGGAACCGAGGATCATAAAGAAGTGCTGAGCTCAGCTTGGCTGCAGGCCAGGGGGAGATGTGATGCCCCAAGCCAGAGAATTTTTATCGCAGACATTGATACTTAATTAATTCCTTTTTTCCCCTGGATTGTATCAACAATGCCTGGATTTATTCAATCCAATCTTTTCAATTTTCTACATCCTCAGAGAATAAAGGGGCTCGTTCAACAATTGAGGTTTAAAGACGGCATTGAATTGCTCTTAATCTTTCATTTTTACTGATCGCCTCCGCCATTGTTAATAGCCGTTGACAACTGCAAGATAAGATAAAGAGACCATGAATTTAGGTTCTAAATTTGGGTATGAAACAAAAAAGTGACATACTGTGGGTGTATGGTAATGCAGTTGTTAGCCGTTGTTAAATGCTGACTGTTGCCTTAATCTTCAATCAGAATCATTTGGAGAAAATCAAGCAATACAAAATATAAACAACAACATTTTGAATGAAAAAAATAAAAATAAAAAAACACCTAAACAGTTTTTGTCTTGTATGACATAGCTGGACCAGAAATACTTTTTTTTACTACAATATATAGACTTGTTTATGCAGCTTTGCAATATTTTCGGCCTTTATATTTTCTGTTCCACACACTGGAGCACTCCTTCAATTTAGTTTATCTTTATTTTGTTTGTAAGCATATAAATTTAGAAGTTAAATCTGACCATAGGAGAAGGAAGACTGTGTCACTGACGTCTTTTAGTGGTTTCCTCCTTGTTTGCTCACGTTAGCATCCCTCATTAGAGTGTTGCTCAGCAGCACATTGTGGTGCTCTCCATGGTCCTGAAAGTGCAGATTGGTTTCCCTCAGAGCCTTTGAACATGATTGACACCGAATCAAACAGCACCATTGGATTGAACTTGACCTAAATTCCTATTTTTGAAGAGAGTAGCTGCTACAAAATTGTCTCACTATCTGCTTGTTATCTTTACTGTGCTCGTGCACACATACATCCACGATTGCATCTTTTTTCCACCCCTCTCTCTCTCTCCCTTTCTCTTTGTGCTCCCCTGCCTTTGCTGTTGGCTGAGTTTGACATCAAAACTGAGCCAGTGATTTAACAATAACCTCTCCATCCCTTTGACATCACCTCACACAGAAAGAAACATACACACATTCACTCCCTCAGTTGCTTCTGAGCACCTTTGTACCCGAGAGCCTCCTCCTCTCCCCTTCCAACCAACCACCCATATCCTGTCAGGAATAATGCACTCCTGATCTCTAAGTCAGCTGTAGAATAACACACACACACAAACACACACACGCACAAAAACCAGGAAAGTCGGACATCAGTTTCCTACAGCGGTGTGATTACAATGCGGATGAGTTAAACAGGAAATATTATGTGGATTTAACACTTTCCCTCTGGTCATCAAATCCCACACCGTCGCCTGTCAGAAAAGTGGTAGGAAAAGACAAGAGGTGCTCCCTTTGACAAACACAAATGTGGATGTTTCTGATGTAAAAACATAGAGTCATATTAGATCATTTAAAGATTGTCTCACCTTAATAAGCCTTGTATCTTGTATAGTCAAGCTAAAAGATAAAAAAAAAAAAAATCCTGCCACAAGACATTCCGTTCTGGTTTTGCTGTATATTTTTTCCTTTTTTTAATGAACAGCCCAAACACACAAAGCCAAACAAGACCCAAACGAGAAACACCACCCCTACAGTGAAACACATCAGTCGCAGCATCATACTTTGGGATTGCTTTTTGTATTTGTACTCTTGGAACAGCTAATAACTTTCTGCTTGAAGGCTGAAGATGAAGGGGGGATTTTGGGATGCGAGAGTCCCTAGTCACACCCCAGAATTAAATTTTAACATGTTTCCCTTTGAGTTTAAACACTTGAATTAAACACAAACTGCCTCACCAGCATGCAGATGAGCTGTATAGAGCCATGCTAATCAGCTAATGTTGGAACCAGGTGTACTGCAGCAGAGGCGTGTCTAAAAGTTGCAGGACACCAGCAGTTTAACATCACTGGATTACAGTAAAGACGATTGAACCTGTTCTTTTTGAAACACAAAGAATGATATACATTCTGTGAGGTGAACCATCAACCTAACTTTTCAATGGATTTATTTATTTATTTGTATTTTTTAACTAAAACGTGTTAGCAATGCACCCCAACACATTCACACTTCTCCACTTGTTTTTGCTGTTGATATGACAATGGAGTATGAATATTTATGCTGTAGAGGCAAGGATATATCCTACGGTGAATCTCTATGCATAATGCAGCTTTTTGTGTCTCATCTAGATTCATTCAGGAACAACATCAGAAAATAAAAAATAAAATAAAAAACATTTTGGACGCACTAAACTATGCAGCTGCATTTCAACTTAGAAGTTTACATACTCTGATCATTTGCATTAATGTCATATAAACAGTTAAACACATATGGACTGCACAGCTTTGGTATATACTTTCCTAATTCACACAGGTTCAACACAGGCTCCAATTTACACATCCTTGAGGGTAAAATGATTCCTTCAGTGATTGGATTAAAGAAATTGTAGAGACAAAAGTTTTCTGATTCGATGCTTTGCTTATTTCACATGGCTGTGTATTCTGCTGCAATGTATTTTTAAACATGATTTAGGCAGGCAGGTATTGAACATCTGCAACATACAAGGACGCTAGTGAGGAGAAAACAGAACACTCTAATTTTTGGTCTCTGCCACCAAAGAATATCAGCGAAACATCAGAAAGGACAATGCAAATGGATGCATTTACATTATCTATACCTGCTTATCCTTGCAGGGTGAGTTTTACTTGCTCCATTCA